TCCCACTGTGTCTAAAGGACCTTGTAACTCTCTCTACCCTGGCTGGGGGAAGCCTGAAGCTGCAGCAAGCAGCGTAAAGAAAAAGACACATATCTTTATATTACTGTGTGATGTTTCAATAGCAAGGACGCAAGATAAATAGAGAAAAAAAGATATCCTTCCATTTCAGACTACAGAAAGAGCCTTCAAGTCCAGGCCAGTTGACTCTAGCACACACTTTCAGCACAAGAAGGAGCAGTTAACTCCTCTCCGTGGGAAATGTCGGAGGTTAATTACCTTCACTTGCCAAGAGCATCACCAGAACTGCAAGGGAAGGTCCATCTAGCCAAGGAGACTTATTAGGTTTATTGCTTTAGACTTTTGTATTTTTGTTCCATTGCTGCAAATCTTTGTTGTAGTTATATGTATCACAATGACCTTCTTAAGACGACTGAGTCAAGGACCAAACGAGTAGGACTATTGGCACAGACCTCTTCCCACTTCCACCCACCTCATCGCTCCCCACAAACACTTTCCATTCAATTGAACCATGAACAGGGAATTTGCTATGGACTTTGCTTTTACATGGAGGTAAGACTCTGGCGCCCACTGATGGGCATTTAGACAGGTAGATGTTGCATTGGTACTTCTTCCCATAAAATACAATTAGTTTTGAAACTCTAGCATATGTATCAAATATTTTTCAGAAGATGGATTTCCGTTCCCCAGTTTAATATGAATTTGGCACTAGGGGAAGTTATTAGAAACTCCACTGATTTGCACATGACACGTGAGTGACATTTCACCTGCATGCTTTTACTTTGATCTGGAGCAAAGTGGGAAGACATCTTCAAGGGGATTACGTAGATCAGGCTCAAGGTTTATGCTATTTTCGACCTTCCGGTGAATAAGGATGCTAGTGAGCGCTAACTGTGAAAGCTCTGAAAGGAAACTGTCCATTCAAACCTGCATGAAAACTGCCTAGCTTAATTCTTGTAACTGAACACAAACTAATCACAATATTTTTGGATGATTTGAAGATTGACCTAAAAAAAAAAAAAGGGAAAAAAATGAAAAAAAAAAAATCCTCTTTAATCTGAGGTAATTCACAAAATACATCAATAAGACAGACAAATGTTCTCACCGAAACAAATGTCAGATCTTAGTGACTCTAAAACATACAGCACAGTCATTTTGCAGAATAACTTGTTCTGAAACAGCCCCCCACCTGACCCAGCATAGACACAAGTCCCAGAATAAAAGTCCCTTGGGAAGCAGCGAAATTATTCTGACCAAATGTTGCTTTTATTATGAATAGAATCTGTGCAGAATGGAGAGGTATTTGAGAATTGCTTATTCCAGTCGACTACTGTGCATAGACACAGCCTCAATGACAAATGGATTTCAAGTAGCAAATATTATTACCTTCTTTCTTTGCTTTTTTTTTTTCCTTGAGAAAAGTACTTAATGTACTTGGTAGGTACAAGGTTAAAAGAACCTTTTAAGCTACAAATATTCAAAATAAAGGTGTGCTTTTTGTGGCCTTATTAACAATAATTCTTTAAAATAACTGAAATGTGGAATCATATTGTGCAGTGCAGGGACAAAAACCCATGCTTAATTCTGCATTTTGTAACCAGTAGCACTGGTTTACTTTCAGGTACACAGCCCTTGAACGGTCCTTCTGGGTTATCAAGCATCTCCTCTGCTGTTGCAGGCACCATGTCATATCCCCTTCAAACGTGCTGAGCTTCACCTTCAGACAGCAAAGCCTTTATGCCTCCCCCAGGTTGACTTACAGGCTCCAATGGGTTGGCACTTTCTTCTTATTTCCAGTTCAAATTACTGAAGGCCGAACAACATCCAGTTGTTCTTCAGCCAACTCTTTGGTTTAAGTATCTTCTATCTCTCCTACCTAATAGAGACAATAACTTTGTCTCCTCTGTCCCTTCATTTTGCTAAGCAAAAGCAGCTTTTCCAATCTGCTCTCGCGTACAGCCCAATTAGCTCCTCTGCATCCTGCCTCCGCTCGGAGTCCATCCTTTCTGAACTCCTCAAGTGCTGAAGTCCAAACCATGAGATAGGCTCGGTGAGTTTTATCCAGCACTACATATAGATGAATTAGGAAAACAACAGCAATAATATAATCAAGCCCTAGAGAGGGGAGAAGGAAGGGGAAAAAAAAAAAATTAAATCAGAAAATAGATAAGTTTTCTATGGGGCCTCTGGAAAGCAAAATCTCAGTGACCCGACATTGTCCCTCTCTTCATGTATTTATCCCCGTGCCTCAACCTTGTATGAGTGCTGCAAACGATTTTCAGATGACACCTAAGCGGCTAAGCACACAGAGGGGATATTTCAGCATCACCCTTCCTGAAATCACCGTTCTGTTCCCCACTCAAAGGCAGCGGCAGGACTCGCCCGCTCCCATAAGCCAGCGCTTCAGCTGAATACACTTTACAGTAAATATTTTACAGGCCATTCTCAACGGTGGTGGGTTTGCATTTTCACAATTAAACCTCATTGTTTGGAGTGCACCAGCAGGCTTGGAGCAGGCAGAGCTTTTCCCGTATATTACACATCTCTTTCTGATGTTTTTCTGCCTGATTAGTAATCACTTCTGACAAATCCTTTCGACAACTCCAAACACCAGCCTTAGTGTTGCAGGGATGCTTCATGCAAAGCCTGACTGAATGCAAATGTTAGGCTAATGCAAGGATGCCTGACAGCATCTGAGCATTTTCTTTACTGGACACCAGAGGGAGGAGGAGGAAAGGACAACTGACAGTGAAACTAAAGAAGAACTGCTTCAAGAGCCCTGAAGGAGCTTATCAGACTCCAGAGCCAAATACATTTCTGTAATTGGACCAAAATAAATAGCAGCATCTTGTCTGAGGATGGTACTTCTGACAAAAGACTTGGCAGGGGTAATACAAGGTGAAGTTACTGGAGAAAGGACCCAAGTACAGCAGCACGGAGTGCTGGCTGCATTTTAGCCAGCTCCATCTTACCAGCTTTAAACAAACCTGACTGGTTTTGGTTCTGGGGGCTACTACTGTCTGTACTCTGTTTGGCTTCTGTGCCACAACTTGAGTGCCTTTTGGTCCAGCTTTCTTCTGGATGTGAAGAAAAACACGTTTCAGTGATTAACCATGAATCCAGGGCCATCACAGTTTCTGAGTCCTGTACCACAAAACCAAGAAATTTGGAGCTGCAAGTGCTCTATGCTGAGATGGAAATGTCAGGACCTTGAAGGAGGGAGGGAGGCAGTTCAAGGAGATTTATACGGTGTCTGTCTAGGAAGGTGATAGCAAATGCTCAACATGTGGTTAGTATCTCGATTAAATAAAAAAAAAAAATAAAAAATGAGAGATTCAGCAAGATTACCAGGGAACTATTTACTATCTTATTAAAACTATGCTTTTATTTCCTCATCAAATCTTTTCATTATGCCTTCAAGGCATAAGGAGGATTATTAAATGTCAGCTACAATTCAAATAATTAATGTATGGTGTTACCAGCTATATATGCGCTCTCCAGAAGGATTAATAATAGCTGCTATTTTTCTTCCAACCATACTTTCTCCATAATACATACATTAATCATGAGAACGCAGTGCATTTTTTAAACCTCTCTAGTGCTGAAAGACTTTAAGGAACTCACACTTTGAAAATCAGAGAATTCTTAATATATTCTCTACTTTTTAATTTACTATGAAAATGCAAAAACACAGTAAGCACTTGGCAAGTAAGGAGCATAAGAAAGGCAGTGCTTTCTCCAGAGCTGCCATTAATTGCAGAATCAATGTCCTCAATTCCTTGAAGCAGGTCTTTAAAAACAACAAACCAGACTTGTAAATTCAGGAAGCAACTTGTCCCCCATTAAAACGGACTGGCTTTTGTTCTTAACTTACTATAATCAAAGCACTTAGAAAAGGCAACAGAAAAGTACTTTTATATCAAACACTCCTCCCAGGACTGGCTGGAGGCTGTGTTCAGTACCTACTTGTCAGCTTAACTCTGGCTCTGCAGCGTGCTCGTCCCCGCAAGGCGCTGAGCACCAATGTGTGTGCTGTCCATGAAAACCGCTGCACGGGACAGGCAGCGCAGTGAGGCCGGGGCTTTGCCCCTCGCAGATCCCTGCTCCCAACACCAGAGCAGAGGGATGGAGAACTCACCCCTCTGCTCTTGACTTTGTACTCAACGGTTGATCTGGACTTTCCCTGCCAGCTTGACACGAACTCTTCCAGTAATTTTAATCCACAGACTAAAAGTGTGCTATGGGAGGTGGCGTGTGCTACTTCAGATTACTTTACACTTACTATGTGCTTTCTATGGAAGGACTGACCCCACTGACAGGTTACCTACCACCCATGCTCCCGTGTGGGTTGCAGACATACTGCCTGTAGGTGGTTTTTGTACTTGCTGTTGGTCTCTCAGCAATTCAACCAAAAATGAGCTCAGCTCCCAATTGCACAGAAAATAAACATGTCTAGAAGTAACATTTCAATTGCTTACAACTTAGAGAAGTTTAAATTCTCTCCTCCACTCCCAACTGTATCCCAGGTGTAACCCTTCCACAGTGAAGGGTCATTGGATATCTGATTTTGAACACTGCAAATTACATAATGTATTACCAGCCTTTTCCATCTCCCAAAACAGCTCAAGAAATGTCCATGTTCTATTTGAAATAATCAGTTTTTCGAGCACGAGATCAGGGTTTGTTATATAAGTAAAGGAGTAACCATACGTGCAACTGTATCACCCATTCGTGCACTACCAGAAGACGTGTGTAGTGCATGTGCACATGGGAACTACATGCACATTCCCCCCAGCGCAGCATCAAACAATAAATAATTGTAACCATCTATGTGACCTGACAACTGCCAACTTGGGGCAGTTCCTACACCTCAGAACATAAACCATTTCTACAGAGAAGCTTAGGAGCACAAGCCTTTCGCGACATGCTTTTTTTTTTTAAATTTCAAGAAGAAATATTTCAAAGCAGTTTTGAAGACTTACCTCCTCGCTGCACTAGCAACGTGACTTCGCTTCCCTTCGGACATTCAATCAGCATATCCACCACTTGGTTGTGAGTGAGGCTCTGCACATTCTTCTTGTTGACTTCGACTATAAGGTCGCCTTCCTTCAGGCCACGGCACCTTGGGCTGTCCACGATTTGTTTCACTCTTTGGCCGCCCCCACCGGGACTGTCTGCTATAGTAAACCCAAAGCCCATAGGCCCTTTCACTATATGCACAGTTATGAGTTCAGGTTGTGTTGCTATCGAAGATGCCAAAGAGACCGTGTCATTGGGGTAACCGTGGGGTCCGTTGGAGGAGACCTCAGCTGGGCTGCTGGGTCTCGCTTCCTTTGTGCCATTTACTTTCCCCGTTTTACTACTGTGGCTCGCTGGGGAGTCATAATTTTCCTGCCCGTTCACAATGATCGGCTCTTTGTCCAAAATTGCCACGGACGTAACCAGGCTCGTGTTGGGATCATCGGGATCGAAGGGCAGGGGGTAGCCTCGGCACAGTTCAAGGTCCACGCTGGCACCAATAGGGATGGACTGGAAGATTTTCACAACTTGAGCATGAGTGTGCCCCAGCACACAGGTATCGTTCACGCTGACTATGACATCCCCTGCAGAGGACACAGACAGATACACCAAATACATACATTTTGTGCACCCTGGGAAGGTGAGGACTAGAGCCTGTGAGCTGATATGCACCATCCACAGGTACCACTCACAGGCAAATAGCAGCATTGAAGTACCTTTGCAAGGAAAAGGAGTGGTGACACTTGGGCAAGTAAGAATTCTCTGTACACAATGGATTCACTGCATAAAGCCTTCATGTACAGAAACGTTTTTGAAAGTGAAAATGGAATTGGCTCATGCAAAAAATTAATAAATTTAAATGATGGTATATGGCCCATTTAACAGCTATTTCGAAGTCCCGATCTCACTGTTACACACTGTGCTACACTGATATATGATAGAAACAAAACTGAGAGCACATGAAAGCTGTAACAGAAAGCTCTCAAATACCAGTTGCTCAGATATGGTGCCACGTGTCGGGTCTCAGACATACTTCGGCCTGAAATGTAGGTATCAATTAAGTTATAATTCATTTTTTAACACTGGGGCTGCAACACAGGGATGTTTAATGTTGTGATGCTCCACTTGCAAGTGAGGAACTGCGCCCTTAGGTGAATCCTAACAGGATTTCATCGTGCTGGGCCTGATCTCTGGCAAAACAAATTGGCCCTTGGTGCCTCCACACAGGGAAATGCAAACTAGCCTGCTCCTCTGCCCGTTCCCTGGGAGTAGCTTGGGAGAAGGGGCGACCGGCATGGCAGATACACAAAACACACAGTGATGGCAGCCCTACAAAAATACAGCAGCCATTGCCACAGCAGGGAGCAGTAACCCACAGCCTGATGTGGGACTCCACAACTGCTGGCTCCTCTCCGCAGGTCAGCATGGGGAGAGCAGGAGTTGGTAGAGCCCTAGCTGGATATTTTGACACCCGAGGTAAAATTCCAATACATGCAGTGCCTTAAGACTTTGAACATATCCCTCCTTGTATCTCACTTCCCTGCTTGCTGATGGGAAAGCTGAATGCCTTTCCCCAAAAAGGGGATAAGAACTGCACTCCTTTCTGAATTGCAGATAAAAACAACTGTAAACACATAAACCAAAGTGATGGCAGTGATTTTGATGTAAAGTATCAGTACCTGTTTCCATTTTGCCATCCAGTGCTGCGGGGCCGTCAAGCACCAAACTTTTGATTTGGAGAAATTCATCTGGCTCATCCCCTCCAACGACAGTGAAGCCAAAACCCCTGCTGCTTTTCCTTAGCTTGGTGTGGATGAACTTCCCTTTCAACTCAGAAGGGTTTCGTGTAAAAAAAGGTTTTCCTGTGTAGGAAGTTTGGAAAAATCTATAAACAGGCAGGCAAGAGCTTTTGATCTGTTTTTTCTCTGCCCCTCCCCATTCTAACAAGTACACGGACAAACACAGCGGTGTGCTGGGACAGGGCTGCACTTCACTCCGGCATCCTCTCACCTCATCACACTCCATCCGTCTCCTTGGATCTAATCATGCAGTAAAAGGAGTGAGCAAAAACCCTAGTACCTGGCAATTTGTTAGCTGTGGTTGTGCACACCAAAGCCCCAAGGCTACAAAGGGGAAAACACGCTGCTTTAAAGAATGGAATATATTAAAGCTGGCAATGCTGGCTTAGATATACGTCTTATCTGTGTCCTGAGGTGGTTATACCCACCCCAGGAAGGATGAGACAGGGGCAGCATAAATATCTCCTACAGAAGGAGTTTGCAAAGAGAGTTTCTGCAGAAAGGAGTATCATTATGTTTTTCACCGCTTGGCCTTCTCCCAACCCACCAAGAAAAAAAGCAACTTCTGAGCTCTGGCAAGACACTGCATAACCCTTTAACATAACCCCCCCGCCCCACCATTGCTACCACCCTGTGACCTCCTCCGGTGAAAAAAGGGAGGATGCTGATGTTGTTCTTCAGTCACTGTTTGAAGTCTTTTCTCTTTCCTTTCTGCTCCTTGCCTGTTGTGGATGAAACACTGCCGTTGTGAAGTTCGGATCAAAGAGCGGGCCCGGACCAGAGCAGCTGTGCTGGAGGGCTCCTAATGCTCTCTGGGAACACGGTTAAGAGGGAACGAGGTGCTCCAAAGACAAAAGTGCATCCTTGCAAAGCATGTTGCACAGGCTCGGAAAAGGAATCACGGCTGCTGTACTTCACAGTGCCAGCACTAAACACCTTTGCACTTTTAATTGTTTTTAATGCTTAGAGGGGAAAAGACTGCCACTAAGCCCTCTGGTGACAGCTCCAGGATCAGCAGTGTGTATCGCAGCCAGGAGAGCTGGCGTACTTTCAAAAACCTTGACAGCATTGCCGTCAGTCTCTGTTCAGAAAGGAGACCTTGAGGGAGAGTGAGGGGATTTGAGACTCATAAGCCTTTGACTGGGGCGGGGAAAAAAAATAAAGTGTATTTGAAGATTATTCATGAGGGGGTAGTGTGAGGACTTGCAGTCTTCTGACTTTGAAGGGTAGCATGGTAATCCTGCACATCATGGGCAGATGCTCTGCTCAGACCCCAAGCTGCAAAAAAGCCCTGACTATCAAAGTGCAACCCAATGTCTCAGGTAACAAACAGGGCTGAGAGGCAGCGTGCAGCAGGGCTTCGTACTCTGCTGATTCCTGGTTCAAAAGACAAGCAGAACAAGCACAGCTTGCTGGCATCTGCCTACAAATAGAGGGTGAACTTGCCCCACAGTAACAGGATAGCAGCACCACAGGCTATGTCCCACCTACAGCATTTGGGAGAGGATCACATTTTAAACGAGCGTATCTACAAAAAAATGAGTGTATCCCCAGCTGGGAGAGCGGTGCCAGGGGCACAAGGAGGGGTCCTTGTGCCCACATCCCCACCAGTAGTGCCATCAGTGGGAGAGATGGAAACCCCTGGGCATAGGGCAGAGGGACAGGGAAGCTACAAATAGCTTCTGCAAATGGGGAGTGAGAAAAGAGGGAGCAGCACTGGAAAGGAAGAAGAAGGAATGAAAGAGAGGAAGAGTCATCAGCGGGTACCAGGACATGTCACTCAGAGTGGTGCTGAGACAGGCTAATGCTTTCCTGTGACGCTGCTGCACAATTTCGGTGGCTGGTAGTCAGGAGCGGGTAGAGAGGTGAGTGAGGCTTCTAACATCATCCCCTGCGTGATGGGCCCTTTGCATTGCCATGCATGGACACTTGGGCAGCTCTTGTTTCAGCCTGACAGTGTAAAAGGCTGGGGTGACATTCACAGATGTCTCCCCGAGGAAGACCACCATTTTTGGGGCACTCTGATGACATGCCTAACCCCAGATGCCTGGTGGTCAGGGTACCATCCCCAGACCTCCCATGTTTTTCCTTGCTGCAAGTTTGAATTACTCTAATGTACTGTAATACCCCTCAGGAATGTGCTGGGGGCTTTGGATATTGTTAAATTTCACACGGCTGTTTTGGAAGGGCTGATCTGCTGGCACCTGCCGCAGAGAGCACTCCCTGGCTCTTCATGGCAGGAATGGCTGCCTGGGACAGCAGCACCCTTGCTGGGCTGTATTTCCCAGCTCCCGGGGCCAGCCTCCCGCAGCTGCTCCCAGCTCTGTCAGGATGACGTGCTGCAGCCAGATTCCCCTCTCTCACCTTCCCCAGCCTCCAGCTCCCGCAGATCAGGGCAACGCCATTTGTTTGCTTTGCAATTTAGACGTAGCCAAAGCTGAAGCCCGTTTGTAACCAGAGAGCACTTGTACCACGATGGGTACTAGTGGAACTCTCTGCCCTTGCTGGCAACCTGATCTGGCCATGTTTCAGCTCATGCTGCAAATTCAGGAATGATTCATGTTGTGTTTTGTTAGTAATTTAAGACAAGCAACTGGTCTGTGAGCAGTTGGCTATACACAGACCATTGACACTAATAAATAAGGCTGTAATAGCCCCAAGTACTTGCACACATGTACAACTTAAAAGTACACCCACAGTATTTGGACCTATTATTACTCTCTCCTCACGCAGAGCTTCCCTGAGGAGTTTCAACTCACATTTTTCAGAAACATGATGTAATCTGCCCCTAACCTGTGGACAAGGCACTTGTGCCTCCTCACCCTCTGTTACTACAGAAAGTCAGATTCAGCATGGAGGCCTGGTAGCTCTGCAAAGCTCTCCAAATGGCAGAGGATCTCCCTCTTCTGGTGCTCCCCCCAGCTCCTACCCTCTCCAAATTTTAATTTGGATTCAAAGAACACAAAAAGGTAAATCCATAAAGTTGCAAGCCAGACTCATCCACGGCAATACCAGAACCTGGCTGCTCAGATGTCACACGCAACCAAGACACCCAAGCTCTCCAAAACCAAGGTCCTGCCAAACAGTGCCGACAACCTATGCCGATCACAGCTCCCAAACACACTGACCAGTTTCCAAGGCTCTTAAAACTACTTTAACTTCAAACTCTACCTGCCCACGAATGCAGACGTGTGGTGACATTGTCTTTGGCTCTCAAACTAAAACATTACCATGCTAATGCATGCCTGTGTCTTAAACACAGTGCAACTTGGTTAGATTTTGTGCTGCTGTTTGGGAGGGAATGTTGACCTATGAGAAGAGAAAGAAATCTCTGCACTAGATCTTATTATAAGAGCTACATTCTAAACTCAGTAGAGTTTAGAAGGTGTAAAAGTCGAATCCTTGCATATCTATACAGTTCTGTAGAAAAGGGTCTCCTACTTGTACTTGCATCCACTGCAGTTGCTGGTAAATCCCACCAATGTTGTAACTCGTGTTTTCACCATGCCTTTTTAAAGACTTGGAATGCTACACAGAGAATAGCCACAATCCTTTTTTGATGCAAGTGACCTCATTTGCCTCTTGCATTTGGCAACAGATCTGGTCGCAAAACAACTAGTCTCAAAATCTATGGGAATTCAGATAAGCAGGCACGTGCCCTGGTGTGTGACGCTAGTCACGGAAATACTAATTTTGCCTGTGGCTGAGGGAATTTAATTCTCAGGAAAAAAAGTCTTGTTGCACTTTTACAACTGGTTTAACAAGGTTGTTACCTTGCACTGGTGCTTCCCGAACTGCCTCTTGGTTGTTTGAAACATGGTTTGGAGCAGCGGGTGGTGGGAGAGATGGACACTCCTCTGTCCATTCTAGAGAGGGCAGAGAGGGAAATGTTACTCGTTTCACAACAGCACTATGAGTTCCTCCATGTACGCACACTGGGAGTGTGGGGTTGAAGCAGAGGAGATGGGAGAAGCATGGCAAGAGAGGAAATAGAGTCACAGACAGAGGGAATAAAATGAATGAGATGTCCAAAAACAAGTTCTGGAGGACTCTCTATGTCCAGGTCAACTGATCCATCTGCTGAGACACCCTACCTCGCACTCAAAGTTGGGACTTGATTTGCACCTAAGTAGTCTTGTCATTTATATGAAATCTATTCCCCAAGGCACTTATGGCATCTAAGTAGAAGAGGTGACGTTGCGGGAAACGGGGCTGCAGGAGGAATGTTGAAGCCTAAATTATTTTCCCCTTGGATAATAACTGTTGTGAAATAACTTGGTGTGAAAGCTGTGAAGGTACCAAAACAAACCCAAATGCCACAGGCCCCTCACTGCAGTTGGGCTACATTTAAAGAAAAAAGTAAAAAAAAGAAAGCAAGAAAGAAAAAAAACGGCAAAAAAGGGGCGAAAAAGAGGGAAAGAAAAAAAAAAGGTGTTTTAAAATAGTAAAATTCTTCAGATGTTAGAGCTTGATAGCATCCAAAGGTCTTGGGTTAAGAAGTCTCTCATGCAGAGGGGTTTCTCTAGTGCGCGTGGAAATGCCTGCTCCTCCTCTCCTTCGACAGCCTGAGTCTCAGGGCAGACTGGAACAACACCAGCTACAGTGAGTAACTTGATGGAGCAGATTAAAGAGGAAAACATGTGTTTTAATTGTTTGTGGGAAGCCTAGAAACCTTCCGGAAATAAAGGACATTAAAAGAAAAATCTCTTTCCTTTAACAGGGGTGAAAGCTACTATGTTTAAGTGGTTATGCGGTTTAGATTTCCTCTTTTGCTGCATCTTACGTGAAGGGCAGATACAACCTTTCCTATGCTCGCCATTTTGCCTTTAAACGCCAAGGCCAAAGCAAGAAGGACAAACACATTGGCATGGTGCTGCCAAGGTGAGGGAGGGCACGTTCCCTCATGAAAACCCCAACCACCATGCCCTCGGTGGTGCCAACCTTCTGGTGGCTGTTGCTGTTGCTCAAGCTGTTTCTTCCTCTTCGCTTCAAGAACTGGGTTTTCATACTGTGTCTTCCGGTTGATGTGGCTGGAGATGAAAGAGAGCAATAAATTAGGAAACCCTTTATGTTTTACGGCCAGGCATGAAATTCCTCTGAGGAAAGGAGTAAAATACCAAACAAACCCAATAGCAGTGTATGTGGAGCAAGGTCTCACCCAGTCATGTCAAAAAGCATATTTAGGAAAACAAGCAGATTTCAGTATTGATATGATGTCCTGAGTAGGAATGGCTAATTTCTTCAAATACGTTAAAGTAGTGATCTATCTATGAAAAATGAGATTAAAGCAGAAAAGGTGCTCTGTCTGACTGCATTTTAAAAGACAGGTCTGTATCATCCCTCCTTTAATCAGATTCCCAGAGGAGCAGTCATTCCCTGGCTCACTGAAGTTAAAAAAAAAAAAACAAAAACCAAAACACCTACAAAAACAAAACCCCCAAAACCCAAACACAACAACTGGTAACATCTGTCAGCTATCTGATCAATGCACACTATCAACAAGGTGTCTTAAAAGTATCTACGGGGATGCAGGCTATGAGCTGAAAAGCTGGGCTCCAAATGGATCAAAAAATATTCAGAATCAGCCACCAGCAAATACTCCCAGTGGAAACTACCACTTGGTGAAACTTCAGCTGTACTCCTTGGAGGGATGTTAGGCAGCTTTTGACCCTCATGAGATGTTTAGAGCCAGTACTTCCTACAAATCTGAGGAAAAGGACAAAAAAAAAAAGCAGCCCAGCCTCAAACATAGCAGACAAGCAATGCACCCCACAGAGGATTAATCGTTTTACAAAACCAAACAACAAACACCAACCACAGATGCCAGGGCAGTGGGGGCAGGTCTGGGGACTCTCTGCAGCTGACGGCTGCAGCTGAGATGAGCTGCTCATCAACTGCTCAACAGCAATTTTTCAATTGTGATTTTGCTACAGCAGAGGAGCAGGTAGACCTTAGAAAATTATATTAGCTTAAAGCCCATCTTTGTATCCAAAACAAAGTTTACTATTAAGAACTTGCTCTTTTATTGTCTCTTGTCCCATGTGTCTTTATAAAAACAGAAAAAAAACCTCGAATGAACAAACAACCACTTTTTCAAGTAATTACAATAGAAGCACTCTACATAGTTATATTCAGCATTTCTTTCTGCTAAAGATCAGTATTGAATCACTGGAAAAATATTTACCTAATCAAATAAAAACAAGTTAATGAGTTCTGTAAAAGATTTCTTATTTCAAGATATCTTCAGAAAGTTAAGAAAAAATGGTAACTACTTTAAAAATGATACAAACTTTTTCATGATACAGTTGTTTCTCAATAAAAACTATTATGCAATAATAGAGTGCCTGAATTGGAAGGGACAAACGCTCACATTATAACCATCTTGCTAGCTTATAGATAGTAAGTAAAACAAACTTATGTCTCATTGCTGTTACTTTTCTATTTAATTTTATCCCTAAGGAGTGCCACAAAACGAACGGGCATGTATATGTAAAGTGACAGGAAAAAATGCTGTAAAGACCGCTTGGCATGGCATTTAATAGCCGAAATATATTCTTGATGTCTTTGGTAAATAAATGCCAAGCCTTAATTACACAGTTTGCTAACCTTGTTTCCCTAGGCACAGATGGTAGGGTCAGAAATGAGCCAAAGCAGACTGAAACTGTATTCCATGTCTATTCTGAGGGTTATCATAAGCCATCCTATTAGACAGGAGTATACACATAATTAAAAATTCATTTTATGGGGTCAGTGATGAAACAAAACTCAGATCTCTGGTTTCCCAAGGGAGGATCTGACATCTAGATAAAGAAGAAGCTGTTCTAATTCCGGAGAGAGTCCCATTAAACCTGTAATTCTATTCACAACAACACAACCTGATGCAAGAACCTCTGCCGTGGTTGTTTGGTCACACAGACTCGTCCATTCCTCCTTTTGTCTTCTGACTTGTAACTGAATTGGTGGTCTGCTTTGCACGCTCATATTTTGATCACAGCACTATATGAAGCGGATTGAGCTCCGTTAATAGCACACTTGTTAATCTTCTCTGGCTAAAAGTATTTTGTGAGGTGCTGGGGCTCCTGCACGCTCCAACCCCAGGACGCTCCTGTCTATCCTGAGCTCACCCCTGGAGCTCACCCCCCATCCCAGGGTGCTCCAGTCTCCCCCAAAGCCCACCCCCACCCCAGGGTGCTGCTGCCAGAGCCCACCAGAGGATGGTGAATGGCAAGGCAGGGCTGCCTCTCCCAGCCCCTATAGCATCCCCCAGCCTATAAGGGGCCAGTGCCTCCTCCTCCTCGGTACGAGATGCTACCCACAAAGCACACAGACCACTGCGGAGGAAAGCCTTCCTCCACCCGACAGCCACACCAGAACCGGAGAGCAGCACTTACTCTACATAGTAGACACCATATACAGGATCCTCAATTTTCTCCCAACCAGCAGGCAATTCTGGAAATAGAAAAAGCATTACTGAAGCCTCCAATGCAGCTTTTTCTGACAAGCAGCTGCTCCTGCCTAGAGTGCAAAACTCATCAGTGGCTCAGGCTTCGCTTTGAACACTTTTCAGAACAATCACAGCCCCCTTTTAAAGGCTGGCATAGCACAGCACCAACATCATAGCCTGTCCTACCAGTCCTGGGTTAGCAAATCAGTGGGAAGATGCCCATGCCAGTCAATTTTAGATTTGTTTTTTCCATTAAATGAACAAATGATCAATAAATTTCCTTTCTGGGAGTACCTCAAGTACCCTCCTGGTTTCACCACCATGGGCAGAGTGGCCCTGGATGGAGCAGTGCAGTGGGAGTCGATGCAGGCAACAGGCCAGAGGCATTTTAATGCCAGCCTAAGAAGACAAGCGAGACTATGGCAAGCAATTGTAGCACACTAACAGAGAGACCACTTTCATCTCCCGTACCAGGGCTGAGTCATTTATGCTTACCACTGCTTTAAAAAGGTTTTTTTTGACTCCTTTCTTAGGGATTTACACTGCTTTGCTCAGCCATGAGCCCAACAGAAAAGTGCATCTTGAAACAGGGCAACGTGAATTTATTGTAAACACCCGGCATGTGGAATCCACTCAAGTGGGGCTGGCACACACAGATGTATTTCACTGCATAGCACTTAATATAAAAACACATATTGCCATAATCACATGTAACAGAGATTTCCTTTTTTTAATTAGCATAATTAACAAAAACCAGTTCTGAAGATGAAATTAACATTTGGAAATGTATCCGCTTTTGTTCCTGTTGATTTTCTAGACTGCACATAGTACTTTAACTATAATTAGTGAATGTAATAAAATCACTTCAGCATCCAACTGAAGGTTATTAAAGCTGTATGTATTACTTAAGGACCTGATCCTTGTCCTACTCATTTAAACACAATGTTCCCGTTGGCTGTGGGTACCGAAATAATCATCCTATTAACAATACAGAGTGGTGCGTTTGTGTAATACTGTGAATTAACTCGAAAGAAGGTTCCACCATGCTATGGACTGTGCAAGTGTGGTCCCACAGACTCTGCACATTCATTTAAATAAAAAAAACCAAAAACATTTCCAGATAACATGAGTTCAAATACCACATGCAAAATAATTTCTCAAAATTTATCACTAAATTGACAAGACTGATAGTAAATAATCTGTTTGTTTATTATCAAATGTAAAGATTTATTTTCATTAATGGCATCAATTACTGAGCCAATACAATCAACAATGGCCTGTTAATTAGAATAAATGTAACTGTCTAGTTATGCATTTACAGACTTCAACTATGTTGCCGTAAGGATAGAAATATCTCCAAACTGGAGATGAACAGAATTTATACAAACACACATGAACTAATTACTCAAAGTTTATGTTTGTGTTCAGAATTGGCTGGAGATCAGATAAAATCGATTTTCATGGTTTTTGCTCCACATGCCCCTTATTTGAGGATATTAGGTAGCTTTTCCATTCTTATCATTATTTTATCCTTACTGTGTTTAACATCTTTGGATTCCTTGAGACATAAGCAATTAAATGCAAGCCAGTGCTAACTTTTGGGCATGAAAATACTCCGCAATTTTATCAGTAGATCGATCAGAAATGAACGCTTCAGAAAGATATTCCTTTACACTGTCCAAGTGTAACTGAGCAAAAGCTAGAGGCCGATCTTGAAAATCTTTTCACAAAGGGAACTCTCAGGTTTGCAAAGGAGTCCCATATGGTGAAAACACTGTGGGACTGGCTTAAACAGTTTCAGTGCAATTAAATTAAGACCTAGCATGCAATCAGGAAAACCACAAGTTGTGGCAGCCATTTAATTTGTTGCACTATAGTGAAAGTAGAATGGTAAAGAGACCAAGCTAGGGGTGGAAGAAGAATAAAAAGTGAATGAGGGAAGGGAGAAATAATGCACAAACGCCTTAAAATGAGTTTTCCACAATTCTTCCTCCTAAATATCTTTTGTCTATTTTGGACTATTAAGTGTTTTTTATTTTTAAAGTTTAAACAAAAGTTTTTTTGCTTTTCTTCTGTTCACACAGGTTTTGGTATTAAATTTTTTTTTTCCTTTTCTTTTAAATAATTTTCAGAGAAGGTCAGAAAAACAGCACTTTCCTAACCTCAAAAATGGTATTGTGCCAAAATCTTTCCAGTTTTCCGTCTCTGCGGCTTTCCATTTAAGGAACACACTTCTATGTTTTCTGAAGTAACACTACAGAAAACTGCAGTTTTTCAACACATTACTTGTTGGAAAGCTCATCTGTGAAATCAACTTCTAAAAGCCTCTGAAGTTCTCTAAAGCAAAAGGCAGTATTCCCCATAGCCACAGTGCACAGTCTAGCTTCTTAGTGGCTTCTCCCCTCTCTACCTCTCCTACTAAACTGAAGATGACCCAGAGCATTAGATTTTATCACAAATATAGAGATTTCAAAACATATTTTGCACCATTAGGAGCCCGAGTAAGCCATATAGCTTTTATTTTGGTACCTCCATGCAGCACTCTGCAGTCTCAGAGCATTTGTCAGCAGGTAAATTCAATGGACTAATATCCAATTTTACAGTTTTAAGCCTGGGGTAAATACACAGATTCATACTGAGATGCTCTTGTTTAGTATCCTACACTACACAGGGGACTGATGGATTCCTAAAAAAGAACTTCTCCAACCACCAGGTATTTCAGTTGTACCCATGCATCACTATAAAGGAGCTGGAGATGACCTCAGTATACTCAGCTCTTACTGCTCCCTGTGAGGCCAGGAGGATCTGTCCAAGCATATCTCAAATTCTACTCCAAAGTTAAGTTTTTGTGTCCTTTTGTACAATCTTCCGTTAAAAAGAGGTGACCTGTTACTCCACTTTCAACCCATCTCTTTGGAAAACAAGAAGTTGTTTCAATGCTTCAGGTTTCATTTTTTTTATATTTAGAACAGAAACTGTTGATAAGCTAACGAGCTAAATATCTGGCACCAATCAGTTTATACTATCCACGAGTATGGTTACTGAATAGGCCATATGTTTTCATGCCAATTCTCTAACGTTGCTGTAACCAACTGAGCTATTTGAAGATGTCTTTGTCTATACTACAACATTTGCAAATCTCAACAGTATGTTGATGGGCTGTGAGCTCAATAAAGCTTATCTGCATTAAAACAAAGGGAACATCTCATGATGTTAGAGCAAAACACTTGTGTCTGTAAGTGCCTGCAGAACTGGGGTCAGGCTTATCAATTAATGAGTTTCCCTGCATCTATTTGTTTCAGCTATTCTCTTGCACTAGATCCTGATACCAGACTGAAAGAAGGGAACATCTCCATTTCATTATTGCCTCTACATTTGTTTTTTTTTTAACTTCTCTCTTATTTTAGGTCACCCTTTGTGAAGACTTTAATGAGAAATCTTTGCAGGTTTTTGGTGTGCATCCACCTACTTGTGATGTTACTCGGTCTGCCGCTGATTATTTGTATGAGCTGCATATAATGCTAATGTACCACTAAAGTGAGGCATTCTTCTTTAAATAGTTATTTCTTTCAAATTCTTGCACTAAAAGAACTTAGGCCTCCAAAATGATTCCAGGTATATTATCCAGAAGAACAGTTCCTGGAGTAGTGTTAAAGTCCACTCAATAGCTGCCGGCTGCTGATGCCATATCAATCACACAGAAGCAGGACGCAGAATACACTTACTTGCAAGTCATTACAGAAACCAGAGGTTAATTCTCTGGTAATACAATCCTCCGGTACGCAGAACTATAAACTGTAAATACAGTCCTTTTTAAAAGCAGTAATAGACCTGGTGGAAATAAAATCCTATGCAACCTCTTATGCCTTTCAGCTTTCCAAGTGCGCTGGAGCATAGCTGAACAGAAATAACAACTACCTCTACAATCAGTATAAACAGAATGAGCACCGCTGAGATTAGATATCAAGACAGCATTCTTCACAAAAAGATGCAGCAAATAAAAATGTACCACATCATTGGAAATCATCTGTTTATAAAATCTCCTACTGATGCAAAATTTTCAGCTGTTTCATTCACAAGCTCAGCAGAAGCATCCTATGTAATACTTCAGCTTTCTAAATCACACTTTGCTTCTCTTGTACGAGAAATGTCTTTGGTCCCCGTGAAAAAGCATCATTAGCTATTTGATTTCAACTTTGGCATGTATAAGCTTTCTCCTGGAGCCAGTGATGCCAATGGAAAAGCTCCTGACTTCTGCAGGCTCCAGGAGGAAGCAACTTCAAAAAAACTTTGCAAGACGAAGGCCCTCCAGCTTTCTTCAAACTCTGAATCAGTAAGACAAAGATCAGAAGCTAGAGGAATAATAATGCTTTGTGTGCTAGGGAGGTTTTGCTGACAAACTAGGCTTGTTGAAATAAAAAAACTGAAAGATGCAAAATGATACAAAGGAGAAAGTAAGTAATTAAAGGCTTAAAACAGTGCAGTTGAAGTAAAACATCAAAACAAGAGATGGATGATTTACCTAGTTCACTGTCCAGTTCTTCCGTGTGTACCCCTTCTTCTCCAAGGGACGAGCAGTAAATGAGACAGAAAAAATTAAAAGAAAATTTCAGATACCAGCACCAAGCAAAAAATTCCCTACAGCATACAGCAGAACCGGCACTAATTTTCTACAGACCGAGTCCAAGTTTTCCATTTATCACACTTTAGTGATCAGAATATTGACGGATCTGATGTAGATAATGAAAGAACAGTTTCTTGTATTCTCAAAATATCTGTATCAATTGACTACTTCCGTGCCACAGTTTGATATGGCAAAGTAATACATTTGTGTTGTTCTCACTGTCATGAAGCTTCTCTCTCAGACCTGTACAGTCCGACCTTCGCAATCCATTCTGTAGACATACGGATCTATCAGAAGGCCAGACCTGAATACTAATGAAGAAATTTGAGAGGGAAACCTTGCATCTAAATAAGAACTAATGTAGCAAGGTTTTCAAGAAAGTACCTAAATTTATGTGCATACAAAGTCCAATTGACTTCACTGTAACTCCTCAGGTGATTTAAGATAGACATGAAGCGAGGCGCCTTGTTTAATTGGAGGCACAAACCCACACCAAAGTTCAGATGCACTGGTGAGGCATATATGGGAATGCACCAGTTTTGGCAGGGCACCTGGGACAAAGATCATATAATTTTTCAAAGACACAAAGCCATCAATATTCACTGTTGCTCCATTTATCATTATCTGCTCCATATTCATAAGTTAACAGTGACACAGATGATTAAAGTATTGCTTAGCCTATAAATAATAATAATGCTGTCTGAAAATGAAAGATGATGACAAAACCAGAACAAAGATGGTAAAAACAATCTTGGACCTAATACAGTAAAGTATAAGCCACATAAATGAATGATAGGAGCAAACAGAAGATGTAGTGTCACAGCATTGCTTTTGAAAATTTGGACACCTAAAAAACCACTTCCACAAGCTGTTTGCAGTATATTCTACCAAAACAGTTGTTTAGGACCATTAGCATGAAATATGAATCGCAATTTCCTTTGATAGCCTAAACAACTGGAAACGACCAAAAACTTGTTAGGGACACGAATCCGGATGAAGAAAAAACACAAGGCAACTGCACCCAAACAAATCTGAAACGACATCTAACATTTATAAAAACCACAAACAGGATGGGAATCAAGCCTGAAAACTCGTGTGCACACACGCAACAAACAAAACAGGGGAGGAGTCCCACTGACTTCAGTGGAAATACACCCAACAGTGACCCTTGCCAAAAATGTCCAGCTTCTATGATGCAGTAAAAATAACCTTCTCTCTTCTTTGTGCTCACATTGTTTTCTGAAATAAAATTATTCTTATGTGCAAAGCAAGATCAGAGCAGCCAAGCAAAACAGTGCAGTGCACTGCTGTACCTATGAAGCAACTGGTTTAACTACTGAATGTTAAAATGATTCACTAATGAGCAACTGAGTAAATGAAGTAAAGGGGTGTGGGAGAAGATTAAATTAGCTGATCTTAAGGACCTGGTAAACAAAAACACCACCACTCTGCAAAATTATGAATTTAATTAAATACAAAAATACCAGCTGTATGTTTCTAATCCCAGTAAAATAAATTAATCCAATGATTGTTTAATAATTGCTAAGAGGACAAGAAGAAAGACTTTCCTTTCTGCAAGGAGACTTAAATTGTTTAACAGAGGAGCTCAGCCACCCGTTGTAGACTCATCCTACCAGCTCCACCTTGCCCTGGCTCAGAGCGCAGCGTGGGGCACGCTGACCCACAACAGCACATGCCGCTTGTTGGCATCACCGAGGTTACCGATGTAGTGGAAGTCTTGCTGGTAGAGAAAGCCAGGACAGAAGTTGTGCTTCAGGGAGAACTACCCTCTCAAAGAGGAAAGCTTACGCTGAGACCTAGCAACCTTCTCTTTAAATTGCCAGCAACGCTTAACTTCAAGGAGGAGGGAGCTTTGCCTGCATACACTATTATTTAATTTTGTTTCAGTTCTGATTACCCACTGACGTATCCATTTTTAGTTGCAGAGCAAGGCCTTCATTAATCCGGCTCCCTCCACTCACTCCTTGACAGACGATGCCAGTTGCTAAGGCTCTGAAGCAGGCACCAGCTCGGTATGCTCGGCTTCTGCCTGGGCTTTGCACATCCCTGTGGTTTGGGGGTATGCTGCATTGTGCACTAGGAAGTTAGTGACCAGCTTTATCACGGCCGCAAAGGCTGCACAGGCAAATTCTCACATCCTACAAAATCTCACGTGTGAAAGGAAGCAGAGGTTGAAAAACTGCATGTGCCAAAATAGTAACAGCAGTTCTGGAAGTCAGATCTGAACCTACCAGTAAAAAGGGATTGAGTTGATTCTTTTCTGAAATAAAATCATAATTCTTATTGAGCTGACTCACACCAGTAGGAGGTTAATCATATTATGAAAACTAATTTTACAAGGACAGCACCAACATTGACGAAGTAAACCCTTCAGTTTTTAAGATATGTCTACCATGATAGCATTGTGTTAGCCAAAATTATGCATTGGAATACCATCATCTTTCCTGGTCAGTAGATCAAAATTGCCACACAGGTTTTCCCAAACATTTACGTTATTTTCATCATGATTCCCTTTTTCTTCCAGCACCTCCTAAAGGATGCAGGGAAAGAATCTCCTTTAAGAGTCCTGCATTTGGCTGCTCTAAATTGGACAGTGGCTTGCATTTCCAACATCTCAAGGAATACAAAATTACATCAGTGTAAATATTCCGTGGCAAAAATCTACACTTTCAAATGGAATTTGTTTTCAGCAACCATAACACTAAGTGGACTGTCAGAATTTAACAGTAGAAGTGAAGCAATTGAGTTATTTCTGCTCAAACAAGACTCAATTCAATTCATGTAAAGCAGGAGGTTGAAGCGTAACACAATGAAGCACGCAGAGACGCAGTCACTTTCCTCCTACACAGCGATCCAAGGAGCAAACACGTTAGAAAGCTTTGAGTCTTGTTCAGCATCAGTGGCTATTCAAATACATTTGCAAAACCAGAGGCCTCTCACTTCTAGCACCTCTTTGATTTTTATTAAATGATCCACCATCTCAATGGCTATTTTACATATACAGACAGTGATTTAACAACATAGCGGATATTGTCTCTATGTACTTACTAATAAACTTCTTTTTTTTAAAAAAAAGTATTTCTGAACACAGGTTACTGGAAGAAAGCTGCCCAGAAATGGACCAAACGCATTGTTATTTCACTATTTTCAGTCTCTTACCATCATCTTCACATTCTTCTAGAGGCTTCTGCTGTTTGTTCAGGCACCGTGGATCTAACCAAGATGTTGTTTTTGTGTTATGGCTGGAAACCAAAAATGGAGATACGACCTTTGTTAATAAAGCAGAGCTGAAGTATCAGTGACATAAAAGTATATATCCTCTTTATTATTCAACAGACCTGAAGGCATACCTTTGCTTCAGAAGAAACAGCATTACGATCTGATGTTTTGCCAACTAGTCTACCAAATCACAAGAAGCTTGGCATTGAAAACACAAAGGGGAAAACTGAAAATATACAAATCAGCATTCCTGACTGCAAGGATGCATGTGAAAGATGTAATATTATAATATTAATTTCCAAACTTTTGTCTTTGGTGCTTTGTTTCTCAATTTCAGGAGCTGTCTCTGAGCCCTTTGCCTCACAACAAAAAGACAGAAGTTTCCCTTCCTCCCTAAACCATGCAGTGATCTTTGATCCTACAGAAGACCTTTGACATTTGTCTAGATATGACCCAAGTATTAGTCAAAACCAAAATTTTCATTGAAAACTTTTTAATTACACAAATAAAACTGTTTTGTCAAAGCCTGTGATGGAAGTTGAACAGTTTTACTTTCAACTCTTCCTTTCTACAAGTCCCCTGACAGCACTGCGATGCCAGTCCCGGTGGTGAAGGCTGCATGGTAAATAGGCTTAAAATACATTTTTCTAGAAATTATTTTCTACCATCATTTCATTTCCATATGCAGACAATCTTGTAATATAATGCCTCTTCTATAACCTGATGTCATCTTTGACACAACCTGCAAAGATATCTCTCCATTCCCTGAGGCACCATTTATCTAGCTTAGCCTTTAACACTGCTTAACAGTTTTAAGTTTCAATACTGTAGTAATGCTATTTACTTCTCCTTCAAGGTCTCAGAGAGGTTTACAAACTTAACCTTAGCTTCACCACAGTCTCAGGAATCTGGAAATGCTGTAATGAGGGCTATGGTCCTGAGGAACTAACAACCGACTAGCAAACTACTGCAAGAAGAGGGGACTGCTCTGCTCCTAGGATCCGAGTGTGTAAAAAAAAGGTCATTGTTTTACACATCTGACTACCCAGCCCTCCCAAGGTAGGATGAGCAAATGTGTTTAATCCTTTTGTATCCTTCAGAGCAATTAATCGCGAACTAGAAAACTGAATGGCAGAAATTCAGCAAGTCAGGCAAATTAACAGCAATAAAGCAGAGGGGTTCTGCCAACTTACAAATAAGAAAGTCTGTAGTCTAGCTGAGAAAGAGGGCGGTGGGAGGAGAGCAATAGAATATTTGCATATTTCTTGCAACTTTGTCTCACTAACCAAAGGCTCACAACAGTGGAGTTTGCTGAGGCGCAGGAAATTTAACTAAACACCTTTCAGATCATACACTCGGAGGGACAGGATTGTGTTAGACCTGTGACATGCAGAGATCTACATGCAGGGTAATGGGGGACTGGGATATTCTGGGTAATGAAAATCCCAATTAAAGCACCGGAGAAACACATCTCAAGAGCCAAATTGCTTCAGCTGCAAGCCATCAGGATCGGCTACCTGACACACAGCTCTGGCTCCACTGGACCTGTGCTGGTTCTGTGCAAGCAGCTCAGATATTCCCATGCTGTTCCTTTCAGTACCCTGACTTGATAACCCAAAGCAGTGTAGACGATGGTACGGATATCTGAGGCAGCTTGGGTCCACACAGCTCATTAGCTTGTTCTCTTAATTAGATACAAATCAAACGGAATTGTCTCTAGGCTCAGGGTGTCCTTAGAATTAATAGAACTGTGGTCATTCAGTGCTGCATCCACACTAACACATTCTTGCACAAAATCACCCCCTATGCGTATGTATCCTCAAAATGGTCAATCTGCACTGCAGGGAAGGAAGCAGTTGGTGTGCCACCAGATTTTCATGTCAGGTAGACCATTGTGTATGCAGGCCACATTTTTCCACCACATATAAAATTCTCCTGCAAAAGGTCTAACAAATTATTTAAGGTACTACAGATTATTTAAGGTACTACAGTCCTGCATTGCTAAGAGAACACACATGCATAGAGAATACAGCAGGGGATGGGTTTGGTGTAAACTGGTGGCAGCAGCAGAACCCCTTGCTGAAGCACCTGTAAGGAAGGACATCACGGTCCCACGTGGGGACAAAAAATGGAGCAACCAGCTGCTTGCACAGCATTTAGTGCTCCTCATCTGTCCTCCTCCAGCGAGGAAAATGGTGGGCTGGATGGGCTATTACTCAGGCTGTTATATACATTAAAGCCAGAAAGTACATCAAAGAATGAGGCACCCTGAGGACAACGAGGGGCAGAATACCGTGTTCAGGATAATGAACACAGTTCAGTTTCATCTGACATGCAGCTGATAAGAATTTTCATCGTGCCTTCTAGACTTTGGTTTACACTAGGGGGTTGATGGAGCTCCTTCAGGTAATTGAGAGCGCCCTGGAAAATGGCCGTTTTTACAGCAGAGCCCCCTCCCAGCCAGTGAAGAGCTGCTGCCGTGCTCTCAGTCCCCCCAGCTCCTCAGACCTTCTGGCACTCTTCTCTGATGTGTTCCTCTGCCATTGCAGCCAAGGGAAAATCTGCTCTGATGAACCTTTCCTTGGCCATGTCCAAAAGTCCCCTCTGCTGATGATGGAGCAGGATTGCTCCCCTCACTGCCCTAATCCAGCATAATTCTCCGGAGTGGCAGAAGAGGCATTAGCAGAGGAGCTTCTTCTGTACTAACTGGCCACTGGTACTTCTGGTGCACAGACAGAGGATCTCAGTTTCCAAGACCGCATTAAACAGACCATCAAATCCAAAATCAATTCCTCATCCCCCTCCTCTACCTAGGCAGCTAAGGGCTTGAGTTTCAAAAGCTAATTGAATTTTAATGTCTAGTTAAACTCTGCACAAGAAATCTCTTCCACTAACAGGTCCCATTTTATAAGTTACTCCTATCTCAGTAAATCTAGACAAGTATAATTAGAGACTATTATTTATGGCATGGAAAAATCAATATCATCATAAAACTGCTGACAGCACTCAGCTCTTAGGCAAAGACCGCAGAGCACAAGGTACTTCTTTTCCAAACTTACTATGCCTACTCTGCACTGAGCTATGCCTTCTGCAAACCTCTGGAGCACGTTAACACGTTTGGCCCATTTGCTCTGACGAGAGGACAACACACAAAGTCCATTCCCTGGCTCTGCTACCACCTGAACACACGACCGGAGGAATTCTCTCTGCTGCATTATGCACAGAGGCAGGCTCCAGAAATGAAGTCTGAGCCCTTTCAATTAGGAGCTTTCATTCCACCCGTGAAAACAACTGGCCCACATCTTATAAGTGTCTGTTGCTTTTGTAACTACCTTCATAAAACAAGCAATTCCCTCTGCGTTTGAACTCCGACGTAATTTGGATGTTAATCCAATCAGGAAATGCAAAACCCCTTCAGAAGCAGTAAAGAACTTGCAGTTCTGCAACATAATTGTATACACTAAATATTTAATACACACACGTACACACACAAAATGCATCCACAGAGATTTACTTATGCCCAGAGAGAGAGGGAGAGAGATGGAATTAGAACAACAAAAATGGCTTTACTCTATAAAATAGACTTCTCCGTTCTCGGTGTAGGCCATCTCCCAGTTTTCCGGCAGAGGACCTAGGTTATCCTCGGCAGAAGGAGGTAGGTATTGAGGGAGGTTCTGAGACGGTTCCGTGGTGGGAACGTTGGCGTGGCTATCAATCGTGGACGGTGGGGCTGTCTCTCTTACGATATGCGTATTATGCTCGTCTTGGTCACCAGACTCTGCTGTAGAGCAAACAAGCACAAATAAAATTAAAAATCAGTCTTTATCTCCTCCCATTTGCTTCTCCCAGTTTATCCTTACAGTTTTCCTTTCCTTGCTTTTTAATTTGCAAGACACAGCAACAGATGAACTGAGGGCAGAGACTCTGCAGTCTTTTTGCCAGCAGGGATGAGCTTGCTTTGCCCACACACATTCTGCCAGCCAGACCCTTGCCAGCGCAAATCAGAAGCTGTGATCAGCTACTATGTTCCCTTTAATAGGCCCTGCTGAGGTACCAAAGTCTTCCAAGCTGTCTGAGGCCAGGGCTCACTGATGTTCAACGGGCTTCTGAGCAGGCTTACAGGTTCACTCCCGCAGTGCCAATTGTGGGACAGGAATTAGGAGAATAAAATTTCCCATTTGAAGAATGATCAAAAGCGGAGATTTTTACAACTGCAAAAGGTAGGCAGAAGCTCAAAGTCAACAAGCTAATGGTGAACATCTTTAGCGTAGTGTGTTTTTTTTAAAATAAAAATTAAAATGAATGTCAGCACTACACCATGTGTCCACATTTGTTGCTCACTAGTGCCTGTTCTCCCTGTCTGAGGAGGTTTATTCCACAGCTCATCATTGTATCCTTCCAGTCAAAGTCACTCAGGAGTATTTTATGATGTATCTGGCCCTTCTCCCTCTAAGGAAACATTTCTGATGCTTATGTCCATGCAGTTTTGAGTTGTATCTATGAAACAGTGCTGCTCATTCCCTCTATCCCTAATCACAGTAAATGCTCTCCAAAACCCAGGTCTGTGCCCCTACCTCCTTCACAGAAAGGTTTTGGCAATAACAGACCAATTCTAAAATTACCCCTGTGTCTACCAAAGGGATTTTCTCTAGTTCTTGAAGATGTCGAAAATTTATGGCAATACTGCCAAGTCACCTGAGACCACCAGCCTCCAGTACAGGCAGCAAGCAACACACTGGGCAAAAGACAGAGAGATCAGTGTCACAGTCTGCCAAGTCCCCAAGCAGTGGGACTGAAAGGGCTTCACAGCCAAGACCTCGCCTCCGCTCTCCAGACCAGAGACCACGGACCTCCTCAACTCCCAGCCCACAGCCTTGGTTGGGGGGCAGGGGGTGTTAACTGCGCTCCTGTGCTATTTCTAGTCTGTGTGCTGCCATTACAAAAAGGCAAGATACTGAAAATAATAAATTGAGAGAAGGAGGAAGAAAAAGATCTAGGCTATACCAGTACCCTCAGCTGCCTGCTTTCTAGCCTTCCTGTCATTCGGTATTTTTAGGTAGATGATGACAAGATAAAGAAGCATGAATGAATCATTGCCAGCTTAAGATTGAGAGCGTAAACATGCCAAAGTCTGGAAAACACAAGTCATCAAGAGGTCTTCTAAGGAAGCAGGAGCATTTTAATACAGCTAGCACACTTACATGTGAAATAAGCATACGAATCACTTTGGTATATGAGAAATAACTCTTTTCTTGATTCTGTGCCCATTTAATGGAGGCAAGGGGCCAGCGTGCGATAACGTTGTGACAAATGAGCTGCATCTTCCAATATTTCATCTTGTGAAGGAAAACAAGGAAGAGAAACGATGCTCGAGTTCGTTCAGGGGCACCAAACTGAGACAGGCAGCAAGGAGGTCAAACAGCATCTCCCACCAGCTTTCTCTCAAAATCAGATCCTGTGACAAGGGCTGAGGTTGCTGCCATGTCACAACATGTGAGAAACTACCCTCGGCGCAAAACTTTGTCAAGGAGCTGGTAAGCAGAGACAGGAATTCCAGCCTGGGAGGGATTAGGCTAGTCAGGAGTGATTTGGGTTGTAAATATTTAACAGGTAGCAACCAAAGAGAACACAACCCTCAAAGCCATTTGACAGTTTGGCCTAGAGAGGGCCAAAACTAAATCTCAGCCTAAATCCTTTTAAAGCTCTATACAAGATGTTAGAGCCAGGACTTTGGCAGGTAGGAGGTGGTTGACATGACAGGTCCTATGACTCATCTGAGGCTGGGAAGGAAAATCAACATGGTGGTAGGAAGTGACCAGAGGACAAAGGACCTAGTGCCAGTGATGGTAAACACTCACAGTAAGCAGCTGTGGAAGGTTTGAAGGTGTGGAATATGCTGCTTGGTAAGTACCTACCTCAAAGGCAGCTCGAAAGGCGAATTCAGTGCCTGAAATCGAACTGAGGAAGTAACGCTCTAAGCGCTAACAAATACTACGATTGCAGACATGCGGAAGAGCTCTTGCTCCTCAGAGCTTTACAAACTTCCAGTTGATTTCTGTGGAAACTCAACTGATCTCCAATAGTATTTTGCTCTGAATCTTCCTGCACAGCACTTGACTTTAGATTGCAAAAGTTCCCAGTGATCTTTCAGCCAATGCTCAATGGTAGCCACGGTGCAACTGAGACCTGTGTCCAGCAGGACACAAAGCCTTCACAAAATAAAGAGCTTGCACCCATGCTTCAGACCTCATTCCTGCAGCAAACAGCCCTCAATTTGCTGGAAGGTACCTTGGAGAAGAGAACCTAGTAATTGTATGCAAGGAAGATCTCTAGATGCAAGGAAAGGGACAGGACAGCAACATATTTAGGAAGGAGCAATAATTAATTTCAGACGTATTCCTTGAGGAAGGAGCAATAATTAATTTCAGACGTAATCCTTGAGTCAATTCATACTGTTTATAACTGTCAACCGTAGCTCAACTCTTCGTCCTTGTTGAGTCAATTCATACTGTTTATAACTGTCAATCATAGCTCAACTCTTTCTTGAACTTTCTGCAACTAATGGATTTGAACTTTTCCCAGTTTTTTCTCACCCAGCTCAATCCCACAAGGCCTTTTTAGAGGTCACAACTGTGATGTGATTGTCCACACCTGGACATCTGCCATTCAGGTGTTGTTGGCCAGTTCTGTCTGGGCAGTCAATTCATACTGTTTATAACTGTCAATCATAGCTCAACTCTTTCTTGAACTTTCTGCAACTAATGGATTTGAACTTTTCCCAGTTTTTTCTCACCCAGCTCAATCCCACAAGGCCTTTTTAGAGGTCACAACTGTGATGTGATTGTCCACACCTGGACATCTGCCATTCAGGTGTTGTTGGCCAGTTCTGTCTGGGCTTAACAGCTTTGCAGGAAACGCATTAAATAAAAAATCCACCAAAAATCCCCCTTGAAAAACCTTCCCTGTGTATTCCAACTGATGAACCGCGATGTTTTTGTTTTACCTGTGAAGCTACTGCTCATTTCAGGTACATCATCCTCTTCCTCATTCTCTGGATGCACTATGCCAGCATTTTGCATATCATTGTAAGACTTGGTTCGCTTTGGAGTCGACTGCTTGGAGCCAGACTGCAGGTTTTGCAAAGCATCTGTGGAAGTCACTTTCCCACTGAGGGGCTGGCTGGGAGGCTTGGGCGTTCCATAATAGTTACCTAGGCAATAGAAACACATTTGCATCTTCAAAAGGGAACAGTTTATAGCAGCAAAATTTCTATTTTATTTTCTTTTCAGTTCCATTAAAACCTCTGTCTCTCCTCACAAGTAAGTAAATAAATAAACTAACACATGCCATTCCCATTTTTGGGGGCGCATATTTCATCTCTAGAGCAGGCATGGAAATATTTCTTGCCTTTTAAGTTATTTGTGTTGAATCTAAAAGGAGAAGCAATGGTTACATTGTTTAGGTGCAGTAAGCGTACAAGGGCTAAAACAAAAGGCAGTCACGGTGAATAGCAAAACTTCATCTTGGTACATCTGAATTTCAATTAGTAGCCTTTTTACATGTGTGCACCCACACAATGCTGTGGCAGATCTGGAGTGAGCCCTGCAGAAAATAAAAGATTCATGACTGCTATCATCAAGAGAAGTGATGAAAGGCTCGATGGCCTGCTTTAATACACAGGTTCTTTTAGGGTGGATGTTGCATTTAAAAAGGAAAACTTATTCTCTCTCTAAAAGAAAACTTTGTCAAAGGAGAGAAAACGAAAGACACCACGTGGCACTGCTTTCTTCAAAGAGGAAACTCGGCAGCTGCGTCAACTTGGGTAGAAGTGAACAACCAGACCTTAAAGCAAAACTTGAAGGGACAAAAGACACACCCACAGTTACGCAAATACAGAGCTCTCGGCAGCCGTCACCAGATGTGGTGGAAACAGTGCAAAGTGCTTAGGACACTTCGCTGTCATGTTAAGTGACCATGGAAGAAATACAGAATAACGGCAGGTTCATTGATGCCAGAGGTATTTCATTGTTCCTGTTTCACTTCACCTCAAGCACCACAGCAGTGCGTGATTTGCCCTGAAACGCTCAACAGGAACCTCAGGTCTGGAATTGGTTCCCGCAGCACTGGGCATTATAGGAATTCAGACCTATTGCAAGGTGCATCTTTTACTTTTTACACAGTGATCTGCAATATACAACAGTTTTACATAAAACTCCTCAAATTTTCCCTTTCAGGAATTATTAATTTTTATTTGCCACCTTTGGATTCCAAGGCTTCAAGACACGGTTTAGTGGGCATGGT